CCCTAAACCCCAAACCCTAAGCTATACACCCTAAGGGATTGCCTAAGAAAGCGGCTGAGGCCCCCTGCATTCGGAGGAGCATGGCTCGAAGCGAAGAGGCCTGGCACCCCAGCACACCCCCCCAGCCCCCCCCCCCCCCCCCCCCCCCCCCCCCCCCCCCCCCCCCTCCCCAAAACGCTCTTTTAGGGTTTAGGGTTTAGGGTTTAGGGTTTAAGGAGAAAATCGCACCGAAGTACACATCACACCGACCCAAGATCCAATTGAAGCCCTTCACCTCAGAAGCTCTGCAAGCTAAGCCCCATGGGCCCTGTAAACGTTTTTGATATCAGCAAGGAGAAACAACATGTTTGCCCTAATAAGCCCCATAGACTGGGATGTGCGCCCTTATACTAACAACAAAGAAAAGGGGTGGCAACTAAGTGGGTCTGGGGGGGAGGGGTCAGCTGTCAAGAAGGGTCCGCTTTGGTTTGTTTTCATGGGTTCTGCCTCCTCTCTCTGCAGCTCATTTTGCCCTGCGATGCTCGGATGAAAAAACTTCTCTGCACTGGGGCTCTTAAGCAATCTGCAGTAACACCTTATAGACTTCTGGCCAACCGGTATTCCAATAGTGGTTATTTTCACCGGACCCCCTTTTTCTAGCTTTGATTAGACACATGTCAGCCCACAAGCCTCCCGTAAAAATGGAAAGCAGTCTTGGACCCCGATCCCCGGGCCGGCCGACTATTTGTAGTTCCCAGCCCAATGATAAATGTGAGGTTAACCTTGAACCCTAAACCCTAAACCCTAAACCCTAAGCCCTAAACCCTAAACCCTAAACCCTAGGAATATGGGCCTACTCTGGACTCTGGGTCCTAGGATACCCCCCCCCCCCCCCAATTTTGTAGGAAACCCTGCGCCCTCGAGTTAATTCTGAACGCCAAAGTCGGTATGGGCACCAGCCCGGCAAGCAAGCAGAAGGAGCATGGGATCACCAGGCCAAACCCGTCAAAGCAGTCATGGTTTTGGGAGAGGTTGTTGAAAGTTTAGAGTGTAGGATTCATAGGCTTTAGGCTTTGGGGTCTAGGGCTGGGAGGGGGAACGGAGGGAGGTGTGGGGCTTGAAGCAAAATTGAATTAGTCGAGGTTGCTGTCGTGCTGCAGCACTAGGATGCAGCCTTAACAGCGGTGTTGCGGAACTCCGAATGAGCTGCCTTGGAAAGGATGTCATTTTCCTTACTGCTTAAATCCAGTAAGGCAACCTTGTCAACAAGCACCCAGGAAAGGACTTTCAGCAATGGCGCATGCTCCAAACCTGCTGGCCTGAAAACCCTTTGAACATATTCCTGAATGAGATCAATAACGGAGAGCCCGAAATATCCCTAGGGCCTGACCTGGGAGATGCTAACCACCCTAACCCTAAACCCTAAACCCTAAACCCTAAACCCTAAACCCTAAACCCTAAACCCTAAACCCTAAACCCTGAACCCTGAACCCTGAACCCTGAACACTCGAGGCGAGTCCATCATGGCACAGCCTGGAATTCGTCGGTTGATGGCGTCCAAGACACGGACATACCTCTGCAGGAAGCCATGGCTGGCATACAGATGATGACAAAAAAACGGATTTAGGGTTTAGGGTTTAGGGCTTAGGGCTTGGTGTTTAGGGTTTAGGGTTTAGGGCTTAGGGTTTAGGGTTTAGGTTCACGTTTAGGGTTTAGGGTTGGGGGCCACAGCGGTCTTTTGCCAATTGTCAAACCCGATGCCCAACCCAAAACCTCCCAAACCTGGAACGTGAGGCCTCATTCCCTAAACCCTGAACCTTGAACCCTGAATCCTAAACCTTAAGCTACACAACAAACACGGGGACGCCCGAATCTTTACGGGAGGATCGAGGTTAAGGGCGTAAGTTGTAGTTGGGGGTGTGGGGCTTGGAAGGGTTTAGGGTTCAGCGACACGTATGCCAGCCATACCTCGTCCTGAGAAGTGGCTCCTTCTAAGACCCCACAGTAGACACTACTTACAGACTGTAGGGTGTAGGGCTTATTGTGCAGGATTTAGGGTGTTTAAGGTGTAGGGTTTAGGGTTTAGGGTTTAGGTACGTATGTTCGGGGCCCTCGGGTTCTTCCAGGGGGCTAGAAGGTGTCAAGTCCCTTAACCTGCTATTCAGAACTGGCCTTCCCATGGAGGACACAGGGTTCGGGTTTACGTAGGGTTGAGGGTGCAAGCCTCTGCAATTGATAACCCCGAGCTGTCATCACCCCAGCGCGAACCCTCACCCCTAGCAACACGTACCCTCAACCCTGGGCCCTGAACCCTGAACCCTACACCCCAAACCCTAAACCCTAAACCCTAAACCCTAAACCCTAAACCCTAAACCCTAAACCCACCTTAAGTAGAGCTCTTAAGCACAAACCCTGAAAGGCCCTAAGCCCTCAGACTGCGAAGCCCGAACGCCCCAAACTCTCAGCATTCAGCCCTAAAAGCCCTATGAGGGCTTAGGGCCAGGGTCAAAGGTTTCGGGTTTAGGGTTTAGGGTTTAAGGGTTTAGGGTCTAAACCCTAAACCCCATGGCAATGACGTCCTCTGAAGCCCTAAACCCTAAACCCCAAACCCCAAAGCCTAAAAGCAAAGGTGCTCGGAGTTGGTGAAGACTTGGTTGACCAAGGGAATCTCGAGGTAGGGGAGGACCATCAGCTTCCACTGCTCCTTAGGGGGTTTATGGTTGGGATGCAAGAAGGTTTAGGGTTTAGGGGTTAGGCTTTAGGGTTGACTTCCCGTTCTACTAGCAGCTCCTTAATAGGAATTATAGTACTCCCGAATACAATCTCTATTAAGGACTGTCAGTGTAAGGGGGAACATCCCAAGTTAGCCCTACTTGAATGCAGATGTGAAGCTGCCGCGGACTCTGTTTTCCCCAAGGGTAAGATATACCAAGGCGAAGATATGATCGCCCCGGGCGGGCGGGCTGGGTGAAATCTTGCATTTCTGAGCCGCTGGCAGGCTGAGGAGATAAAGCTCAAGTGCCCGAGCTAACTTATGCTAAAATCCTTTAGCATTGCATTAGCCCTACTTGAATGCAGATGTGAAGCTGCCGCGGACTCTGTTTTCCCCAAGGGTAAGATATACCAAGGCGAAGATATGATCGCCCTTGGGACCCTTGGTATATATGGAAGAAGGGGGAAAACAGAACGAGAGGAGATCTATGATTCATCTTCTGAAAGTTCCAAAAGCTGGAAGGCCAATGTGGCTGCTTGCTGCTCATCTTGCGTGGCGTAGCGCGACGCTGACGCCGGCGTACTCCAATCTCCCATCCTCAGCATTCCAGGGAGCCCATATGCTGCCGAAGCATGCCACGACGACCCTGCCAGGAGCGCGCAAGCCACTGGAGATGCATGTAAAACATCTGTGCCTGCGCCTCTTCTGAAGCTATGAGAGGAAACCTTATGTGCTTCTTCTGCCGACATTCCGCAAGTGACCAAGCTACTGCGCAGCCGTGAGGTGAAAGTAGCCACTGACATGGTAACAAGCAGCTTCTCTTGTGGCCAAGCAGGACCTCGTAGTTCATGTAGGGCTGCAAGCCATGGATGCCAGCACAGCAAGGGCGACCGGCTACAAACACACCAGCGTCGCAAGGTACAAGGGTGGGGCTTACCCTTGCGGTAAATGTTGGAGTACACTAAACATCGATCTCCTACACTTAGTCTGGACCAAGACAACTGCTTAAAGATCTCTGACGGAACCCTTGCAGCAAAGGTGTATGCCAAATTGCAAATGGCACCGAACTCCACGTCCCGGTTCCCCGCTGCTAGCTTGAGAAGCTTGCGCCACCAGTGCAACTGCAAGCGTGGCTTCGGAGGCGCCTCTGGAGCTAAGCGTACAGTTCCCTTACGTAGCTTTTTGAGGAACAAATCCGCGTCCCCTGCCCATGGAACACGTTCCCGTACATGCCAGTCTCTCCAAGCTGCCAGCCAGCCTCTCTGAGTGTTCGGATTGTTGATCAGAGCGGCCACCCGGCTGATCAACTGCAGTGAAGCCGGCAATGGTGGCTGGCGAAGAGTACGACACGCCCAATGTATCATGCGAATATGGGAGGCGTAGGTGGTCGAAGTTGTTTTAGCCACTGCCGCTTGAGCCCTTGCTGACGCAATCGAATCCAAGATCTGACCCACCGGAAATTTTCTGCGAGCCAAGTCTTCCAGTAGAACGATCTCTTGTGTCGGGGTCGGTCCCGCCTGACTGCGCCCTCGGGGAGGAAGCATACCGACAGCCTGGTGCAACTCTGAAGGTTCTGCGCACGCCAGTCTGAAAGTATTTGCCGCACTCGACGTTACATCACTGGCGGACGCAGCTTTCGAACTGGAGGACTCTGAGTGCACCTTTGTATTGTGTAACTGCCGCCTCTGTTCCGGATCTGCCACCGAAGCTTGCTGAAGCTTCCGTCGTTTCCATGGAAGTTCCCCTCTAGGCACAACATACATGCATGCCGTCAAAGGAAGCGCTACAAAATGCCAAAATCTCTTAGACAAACCACACACATATATATATATATATATGTATATCTCATGTCATGTAAGATGCCCCCATACACATGGATGTATATTTGGCAGCGCTGGGACCTACCAACACGAGGCCTGATTGTTGTATCGGGCAGCCTCAAGTCAGCCTGAGGCTAGCACGCTTACAAATCTTCAGAGTTTGCCTGGGTTGGTCAAAGCAGAGCGGCAGCCAGCAACTTTCCGCCAGCAACTTGGGTTTCGGATTAAGGGATGAGCAAGAACCCCTGAAGTCCCCCAACTCCAAACCAGAACTGTCAAACTCCTCAAGCCGCAAGACAACCTCCCAAGGCACCTAAGCCGCGCAAGCAGATTGCTGCGAACGTAGCAGAAACTCAAAGAGAGGAGACCCCGCAATACCAGAAGCGAAGCCAACCCCCCCCCCAACCAAACAAAAGAAACACACACCTACACACACACACAGAGACACGGACACAGACGCCTTTCCTCGGACAGCAGCAGCTCCCCTGTCAGCGTTGGCCCTGGTGGCGACGCTTGCGACTTGCTTGAGAAGCCCAGTCCCTTGAAGGAACCTGACGGACCGCGTGGTCGGATGACGCCAGCGGAGGAGAACCATCTGCTACGCTTGCCTGTAGGCGGTCATGGCCCGCAGCGGTTGCTGCACCAGTTGCGCAAGGTTGCACGGGACGCGGTCCCGGAGCCACGTGGCTGACAGAGGCATCTGCTTGGACCCAGGAACTCTGTAAGAATTCCAAGAAGAAATTAGCAGTGAAAGCCGGAGGCAGAACTGCTGCGACTTGTGAAGCGTGGAGCTGCTCCAAGATTGCATGATGCTTTCGGCTGGGACCATCAGCTATGTTGAGTTCCGAAGGAACGCGCCCCACCCATGCTGAGCATTTGACCCGCCTGACTGCCTGCCAGAACAGCCCTGCTAGGACTGTAAGGTGCGGCGACGAACTGTACGCCTTGACCAAGACACCTTCCGCAGCCACGTTGTCTATGAAGATGAAGACATCCACGTTTTCCAGCCGGTCCGACCAGGTGAGCAATGCCACCACAGCTGCTAAGGCCTCGGCCTCATTTATGCAGTGACCCGACAGCCAAGGCAACAGGTTAGAGTCCTCTGGTCGTATCTCTTGAGAGAAAAAGCAGAACCAACCAGCTCCCCAAGCCACTCCTCCGAGTCTGTAGCTGTTGGCTCTCCCTGCAGCATCCACAAAGATGAGGGCCGCCCTTCGAGCCAGCGTGCCTGGAACATGCACCGGCATGGGGCCGGAGGCGCACATGAAAATGCTGAAGCCCACTAGAGCAGCTTGCAGCACTCGCCACGAGACTTGTCCGCCGCGAGAAAGTTCCCTAAGAGGCCACGTAAAGGCACGACCTGACTTGCCGAGGGCCAGAGCCGAACAATGGTCCCACTGGCCCACACATTTCCCAGCCACGGCAGCCGATAAGTGACGCTGCGCCAATGTAGACGTGATGACGTCCGAGTACTTCTTTACTTTCTGCTGCGGCATGTCCACGGTGCAAACCAAGCCTAGCTTCCGCTGGTGTTCCGTGGTGTCAAAGCTGAGGAGAGCTCCCAGCGCCACAAACGTTGAAGCACTTCCCGCTGCATCGCGAGGCGGTCTAGCCTTGGTGGCCTTGAGCCTGAAATTCAGAAGCTCGTGCAGCTCGACAAAGGCCTCTCGCGCCGACACTATTGCATCCTGAGTGTCCACGCCCACCAAATCGTCCACGTGAGGAACGTTGGGGATCAGCAAGAGAACCGCAGCTATGGCTGACACGGCATCCGTGACTCGGCAGAAAACATGCGGGGACCCTCGCGGTCCAAACAAAAGCGTTCGGGGCACATAAATTCTGATGTTCCCCTCCTTGTCCTGGGCCGTTGCGCAAAAGAGCTTTCTATCCAAAGAGGACAGAGGAAGCTGCCGGAATCCGTGCTCGTAATCTTCGGCAAAGCCCCGCAGAGCTGGAAACTGCCCTTTCTTTTTGAAGGCGGCAGCCACTGTTTGGCAAAGCGAGAGGTAGCCATCCAAACCAGCCATGAGAACTTGGTTCGGCAGCAGGACCATCGATGGACCATTGGCTTCTTCCGGATCCAAGCAACCCCTAAGCTTAGATGGTTCTTGAACCCCGAAGTACAACCAACAAGCAAAGTCTCCCAACTCTTGACGCGCCTCTGACCACGAGTAGGACGTCCAAAAGCCTTTGGTGGTCTCCTCCTCGAGTAGCCTGTGAAGCTCCGCGGAGTGGCTGCCAGGCACCTTGAAGCGACCATCCTTCTGCTTAACAGCATGCTTGTCCAAGAGACGCTGGAGATCTCGAACATGAGCTGCATCATCCCAAGCAAGAGGTTCCGGGCGTTGTGGCCATTGTGGCACTACTGGCAGTCGTCCCAACAAGCGGAATCCATCTGGCTGCTGCGCATCTTCGGCCAAAGCCTTATCTGGATGGCCTGCCACTTCTGCCAAACGCTGTAACACTCCCCAACGAGGCTGTGTTGAAGGACCATCCGCCGCCACAACGCGACGAATACGCGCCATCTGCTCCGTCCGGTATGCCGCAATTTCTGCGGCGGACAGCGTAGCCCTTTGCCAAATCCCTGCAGTCACAGTGCTGGACAAGTCTCGGAAAGGTTGGCGCAGGGGGCTGCTGAATTGAATAACCTCGGAAACGAAATCTTCCCAGGAGGACATGTAGCGAGACTTGTCCGCCAGGATCCTCTCATCCAGAAAATCACCTTGACAAAACCCTTTGTGGGACATGATGCCGAGGATACGCGGAGTGAGAGAACTGGCGGGCGGAAGCCGTGCGTCCGAAGAAAATGCCGTGAGCAAGCTTTGCTGAACTTCTTTGCTGCTGCCAGACTGTAAAGTGGCTGGGTTCTCTGCTTCGCCGAGAGCCCCATCAAAACTGTGGCGACCAAGTGTCGCCGGAAGGCACCTTTGAACCTGGTCTTGGCGTCGCTCTTCAACCGGTGCCCAATCGAAGGAGCCGCCTTTGTCCTACTTCTTGCCACGGGAAGACGTCGGAGTTGCTGGCGTCCTCTGCTCCGGCGAAACCCTAGCAGCGTTCTGGTCACCACGGTCACGCCTGCGTGAACGACTTCTTGAACGTCTTCGAGGAGACCGCGAGCGGGCCTTGTGAGAACGGCCCTCCTCTCTGACCACCATCTCCATGGGCACTCGTAGGGAAGCCAGGTGACGAGCCAAGTAGCCGGGCTTATTCTGGCAGATCTTGCCTTGACAGAAAGGACACGTGTGGTTGAAGCCGCATGTTTTCCGCCCATAACCGCTGCAGAAGTTGGGCTTGACTGCGTGTCTCAAGCAATGGTCAGTAAGAGAAGGTTTGCGAGCCTGTGGAGCTGAAGGAGCTTTTGCACCACCCTCCTCAAGACAAACAGAATCCTTGGCTTCCGAAAAGACGCCGGGGTCGCGGCGCAGGAAAACCTGCATAGCCTCCTCAAACGGCTTCGTGTCCACATCTGGGTTCAAGGGAACATTCAAAGAGGATCCGTGAAGGAGCTCCCGAATCTTGATGCTGTACAGCACGGCTAATTTCTCCGCCTGCTTGTCATCGCCTGGAGTTTCACTGGCAATTTGAAGCGCCAAGCCCAACTCGCTGAACAACGCTGCCGGGGACATACGCTGCATCAAGAGGAGAGCGATGCCGGACCGAAGAAGTTGCCAAAGCTGCTTGGCAAAGGCCCGTGGACCTTCATGATCTAACAGCTGTTTGCGGTCAGGTTGTGGGAAGTGCCCGACTTGAGCAGCCGAAGAGACTTTTCTGAGCAAATCCGCATCTGGAAGCAAGGACGGAGCAAACATGCCGAGTTCGAGGCGTTGGGCAAGCTCACCCACGGTTTGCTTATGTTTCAGTCGCTCGGCTTCCTCAGCAACCGGATCTGACATTCCAGCAACTCGCAGCGCCGTCTTCAAAAGCAAATCCGAGTCCGTGGACTGGGAAGCTTCTTGAGAGGTGAACGGCGAGGACATATTCAAGAATCTCTTGAAAGCTGCTTTAGCCCTCAATGATGTGTCCCCAGGAAGGCAACTGAAGAACTCGTCCGTGCCCAAGGCTTGTATGTCAAGCAACACCGGGTTCACATCTTCTTGGCTCATGTCATAGCCAAGCTTTACCAGTGTGGAACGCACAAGTTCCAAGTCAGGATCCAACTCGCCAAAGAAGCTGCTTAGTGTGTTTTCCCCAATGCCAACTGTCTGTGCCACGGCCACGTTCGGCGCAGGCGGGCAAGCAGTCCCAGCCGCGAGAGTTGCCAAGCGTTCTGCTGCGTTTAACATGGCAGAAGAACTGGGATCCCAGCGAACAGTCTTGCTAGAACGTTGAAGTTGCAATGGAGAAACGTTGTTGCTTTCTGCGCCGCAGGCAGGCTTGAATGTTGAATGAAATCTTGCCTGAAATCTTGCATTTCTGAGCCGCTGGCAGGCTTGAGCCAAAATGGCTACGACCAAGTTTATGGTTTCAAGGGCTTTAGGGGGCGTTGCAGCCTCTGGCAAGGCTTCTGGGGTTAAAGGCCAGGGGGTAGGATTTTAGGGTTTTGGGTGGGGATTTAGGTTTAGGTTGCAAGGTTTAGGGGCTCAAGCTACCTGATGTTGCTCGAGCGAGGTGAGATATCGAGCATGCGAGCATGCGCTTCTGACGTGTGCAACGGTAACCCTGTAGGATGGACTGTCTCCTCTGTGTTTGCCTTCACTTCAGCCAAAAAAATATCTCCCAGGATGGGGATCTCTAGAGACCTAAACCCTAAATGCCCTCAAAGATACAGCAGCTCCTTTAGATTTCCCGGTATCGCTTCCTCAGCCCCTAAACCCTAAACCCTAAACCCTAAACCCTAAACCCTAAACCCTAAACCCTAAACCCTAAACCCTAAACCCTAAACCCTAAACCCTAAACCCTAAACCCTATAAACCCTAAACCCTAAATCCCTCCCCGCTGCCAAGAGACATGGGACGAGAACCAGAAGCCTTCCTGCACCGTGATGGCACCTCAGATGCAAGACTAAGAAGGCTTCGGGCGGAAACCCTAAACCTAGACCCTAACTAATGCCTAAACCGGTGGAACTTCTAGGTCTGAGAGGGGGGGGGGGGGGGGGTGCTTACTTCGGCTCTAACCAAGGGAGAAAAAAAAGGTAAAGCTGCCTAATTCCTCTTCTAAATTAGAAAACCCAGATGAAGTTTTAAGTTCAACGATTGGCTAAGTAAGATTCTGCTTCGACCTGGCAGGGCTTGTAGACTTCTGCAGGATAGACAAACCCTAGACCCTGGAACAAAGTATGTCATTTTTTCGGTAGAAGTAGCTATAGTTGGAACCCAGAGCCAACAAAAAGCCTAAACCCTAAACCCTAAACCCTAAACCCTAAACCCTAAACCCTAAACCCTAAACCCTAAACCCTAAACCCTACTCCAAAACCCAGAACACGCTGAGCTCAGCCACATCCTGGCTCGACCACGTCGTGACAGGCGGGGCCCCGAGATGTTCGTTTTAGGGTTCCGGGTTTAGGGTTTAGGGTTTAGGGTTGAGGCTCTAGGGCTTAGGGTTTAGATTTTTTTTTGTTTTTTGGTTGTTTCGTGGTGCTTTTCATCGCTGTTTGTCGTTGCTTGTTGCTTGCTGCTGTTTGTTATTTGCTGCTCTGTACTCCTACATCAGGCAAGATACAACCACGCCGCTCTGCTGGAGACTAGCCATTCAATGATAACCCTGAACTCTGAACCTCTTCAGCTAGCAGCTAAGAACATCAAGATCCTGCCGTAGGAGCTTGCTCAGATTTTTGGGCGCAGGGTGAAGGACCCTACTTGGAGGTCCATGGATACTTATAACTCAAATTGTAAGCCTACTTATAACCCACATAGAGGACTTAGGGGGCTTTTCAGTACAGTTGTAATTGGGGTTAGAATGACCCATGGACCTCCAAGTAAGCACCGATACCATTCATACCCTGAATGTCGGTTGCAGGCGCTGCCGTTGGCGGTGGTGTAGTTGCGAGCCACGAGCTTGATCTGCTTCCTGCGTGCATGGATGCGCGAGTCAGTGGCAACCCTGAGACAAGCCCAAACCCTAAACCCCAAACCGAGACCCGAAACCCCAAAACCCTTACCCTGAACCCTAAACCCCAAACCCCAAACCGTAAACCCTAAACCGAGACCCTAAACCCGAAACCCCTAAAGCCTAAATCGGGGTTAGGGTTTCACGGGCTTCGATTCCACGGAGGTGGCAAGTCGGACCAGCGTCATTGCATGAAGTGCCTTGGGGTGGCCAATGCCACGGGAGCCTTTTTCAAAGGTTTGCTCCTTGGTGTTTTGGTTGAGCGCGTAAGAGTAAAAGGACCCCCCACCACCCTGAACCCTAAACCCGAAAAACCCTAACCCTATAAACCCTGTAAATAAACCCTATACACCCACCCTATCCACCACCCGCCACACCCTACAAACCCTATAACTACTGTAAACCCTACAAACCCTGTAAACCTGTAAGCTCTGAAGCGGGGGAGGGGGGGGGTGGGGAGGGGGGTGGGGAGGGGGGGGGTGGAACCCTGAACCCATATCATAAGCAGCTAACGACGCAGCACCCCGTCAAGATGCAAGCTTCGGCGCCTTTCGTGGAGATGTGTCTACTGCTTGCAGAAATGGGCCCAGGGAGCCCAATACCCCTGGACTAAGGAAAATTGCAAAAACATCCAGAATTGATAAGAAACCCTATACGATTTATGGTACATTCCTTACTTAAGTGGCATCGGGCTTTGTTGAGGGGTTCGGCATGCCATCGTTGGATCATAATGCCCTGCCTCTCCCACATCTTGTTGCGTTCTTCCAGGCCGTTGTTTGGATAGCCAGACCAGTCCTCAAAAAGAAGCCGGGAGCTTTACCTAGGTCCCTCATTAACCTCAGTGCCCTTCTTCATTTGCGGGGGTTGAGTAACAAGAGACCACGAACCTGGAGAAGGAGATGGCCGAGCCATCCAGAGGTATATACTCAGTTCTGTGGGAACTGCTTTTGGTTCATAACAGCCGTACCAGCACAAGTAGCATATTGCATGCATTGTCAGGGGTAGCCGATTTTGCAAGTATTTGTTCGAGTCTCCCTCTCTACTACCGTCCACCCTACTTCCTTGAATGTCTGACCTTTCTTGGCCCTAAACCCTAAACCCTACTTCGAGGTTCACAGATACTTAAAACATACAACTCCAACTATAGCTGCACTTATAAGCCCCTAAGTCCTCTAAGAAGGTTATCAGTAGGCCCATATATAACTGGGTCTAGAAGTACCCATGAACCCTCAAGCAGCGACATCGAGCCTCAGGGGCTCATGGCGCATGTGTTTCTTCTGGCTGAGAGTCTAGGGGCTTATATACCTTAAACAGTAAAGCCCGAAGCCTAAAGCCTAAAGCCTAAAGCCTAAAGCCTAAAGCCCTAAATCCTAAACCCTAAACCCTAAACCCTAAACCCTAACCCTACCCCCCCACCCCCACCCCAACCTACCAAAGGGCGGCCGGGAGTCTGCCAAGAGATCCATGAAGAGGACCATCAGCTCGCCCTCATAGGCATCGTCCAAGAAGGCCGGGTACACCATCATCTCAGGGCTGCAGCTGCCCTAAGAGCCCTAAAACATACCTCAACTCACTTCCCGAAGCCCGGCCCTAAGCCCTAAAACCCCAAATAAATACATATAAATAAACCCTAAACCCTAAAGCCCTAAACCCTAAGCCCCAAAAACCCGCCGTTTCCATTTATGCCCTGAAGCTGCTGACC